GTGAGTCTGAAGAGGACTTTATAGATTGGTATTGGACATACGGGTTAGTATTGGACTTCTGGACTTGATCTGGACTGGGCTGGGATGTTTTCTCAATATTTAATTGCTCTTGTATACAAAGCTCTTTCTTATACACATGAGGGTGTCCATAAATGTGTTTCTCTAGTCTGCCTGGACTAACACACCATCTACAGGTGTCTCAGAGGAATAACCTGGTCGTCTGCTTTCCAAAGGTTAGAGTGGTAAAAACCCTAAGGAGCTCTGTTCTGCTCTGCACACAGGAGAGCGTGCCACGCATTGGAATCAACTAGTGGTCACAAGAGGTGATGTGAAACTTGGGAGATTCTAGACAACCATGTCCTTGCCATGTTATTAACCGCTCTCTGCTATCATGTACTTTGGAATACTTTGTTATAAATGGCATAATGTACTTGTGTGTAAATTAACTTAATCTACACTCTAGGGGACATTAGTCATCATTAGACTTTCCTAATTAGGAATTCATACTCCAGGAGTGGTTAGAATCTGAAGTGCCCTAATCAGGAATCCATATTCCCCAGGTGGTTACTCAAGCATTTGAAGGATCTTTACTGAAATTTATACCAAAAAGTTTGTTAATTATCATAAGGAATGTTAGAAACACATTTTTTCAATCTTATACTTGTTTTTAGGAATGCATAACACATACACCGATTCAAAGGTCTCTACGTGTACAATTAAGTGACACTGATCTGAGTTATGCAAACATTCTGACCTTCCTTTTGCGAGTTGTTCTCCCACCCCATGCACACACTGCACCCTAAGAGTCCTATGTGAGTTTTAAGCTTACAATTTGATCCCTTCTAGTAGTTCTGAAAGTGCATACTCCTTAAAGCAGACCATTTTTACTAGGCAAACTATTTGGTTTCAAGAATACTTTGAGTAATGTATATGTTTTAAGTTTTTTCCCCCCAGAATAGATATTTATTGAACTACTTGATGCAAGGCACTGCGCTAGACCTGGAAGGGGCGTGGTGGGCCTGCCCTGTCTCTAAGAGCTCACAATCTAAGGGTTGTTTTAAGGCTTAAGGATTATCTCAGGGGTTGATCCCTTCATTAATGTGGTTCCCCATGACCATTAACCTTCCCCTCTACCACCTCCCTCCTGTCCCTGTTGTTCGTGTTTAGTGCCATCAAGTGAGTGTGACTCATAGGGTCACTGTGTGCAACAGAACAAAACATCATGTAGTCCTGCACCATCGTCACAATTGTTATGGTTGAGGCTATCTTTGCAGCTACACTGTCAATCCATCATGTCCAGGGTCTTCCTCTTTTTTGCTGCCCATCTACTTTACTAAGCATGACAGCCTTCTCCAGGGACCGGTCTTTCCTGATAACTTGTCCAAGGTATGTGAGACAAAGTCTCACCATCTTCACTTCTAAGGAGCATTCGGGATGTACTTCTTCCAAGACAGAGTTGTTTGTTCTTTTCGCAGCGAGACATTTGCCCTGAGATATCAATGATATTGTCTTATA